CGAAAGGTAGTCGCCACCTCCTTGGCTCTCATCCACCCTCGAGACTCATGTGTGGGCTCGTTTTGCATAAAAATGCCACTCATTAGCACTTAGTAGGTCTACAACTTCAAGACACTCGCATCACACCCATCCAAGCAGTGTATCATTGACCCACTTCTTCTGCTGCTTCCAAATGTCATGCAACCGCGTCTTCAGCAGATCTGCTCCAGTGCACAGTCAATTCACACGTATTCATGAGCACAAACTATGTCCACAAAACTGCTAACTTCCATGCCACGAGGCTGCCTCACTCCACGCAATAAAGTGGTTGCGGTGTTTGCCTTTCTCCTCATTTTGTTACACTGGCCTCACTCACCATTCAGTCATGGCAAAAGGGCACTGTTGTTTTCAAATGCTTTGCGTTTGGTTTGAAGTTGGTGGATTTTGCTTCCTTTACTAACCATTTTGCATCCTTGTTTCGATATGAATCCCCCGCCCCAACACACTACCGCAATATCCTGGCTACTGCTCGTCATCCGCGCTGTACACTGCCAAGTTAGTCCAACAATAGATTGGCTTGATCTTCTATTGCAAGGTGGCCACGCTCAATCGCAGCACAGTGGCTGTGACACTGACTACAACACCTGCGTTTTAAGGCGTTAAGATTGACAGGAGAGCATAAACACGCGGAGAATCAAGAGAGGAAACTGGTCTCCTGACGCAGGCGAACTGGCAATCAGGAGAGCAATTCGATTGAAACACCTCCATATTTAATCTCATCCGCAAGGTATTTGGCATCAGATGCATTATCGAGACTTTGCCCGTTGATTTATCAATCACTGTGGTTCCCTTTTCCAGTTGACAGAACAACTCTTCCATAGTCATGGACGACATGAGTGGTCATGACTCATGTTAGAGGTGGGATGCAAGAAATGGCATTAGCTGAATCAGGGAAGTCGAAATGGATTCGTGATCATGGCTTCTATGACCGAGGTGTTGGCACCGAGGGCAATTTCGGAGGACTCTTGTCAAAGTCCATTGGCATTGCCGAAAGCCC